TCGTTAAAAACCATTAAACATTTTTAGAAGAGCCGATTTATACAACCAAACTCTTTGTTGCTTTTTGTTGTTGTGTTTGCAGTAGATTCATGTGATCCTACTGATGCATGAGCCACTCAGAGCTATATTGCCTAACTAGGTGCTGCCAGTCTAGCATTGTAATCGTCCATCAGATGAGTGAAGTACATTTCCATGTTTTTGGAGGAAATAATGGTGAACTGTGCAAACAAAGTACCTGCAGATGAAGTAAGGTAGGAAAACACACACATATGTGTGTGTGTGTGTATATATATATACAGGTGAAACTCGAATAATTAGAATATCGTGCAAAAGTAATGGCAGTAATTGCTGCAAAAGGGGCCCAAACCAAGTACTGAGTACATATGCATGCTTGTACTTTTCAGAGGTCCGATATTGTTCTATGTACAATCCTTGTTTTATTGATTGCATGTAATATTCTCATTTTCTGAGATTGTGGATTTGGGGTTCTTGGGGTTTTCATGAGCTGTAAGCCATAATCATCACAATTATGAAAAATCACGGCTTGAATTATCTTGCTTTGCATGTAATGAGTCTATCTCATATATTAGTTTCACCTTTTAAGTTGCATTAGTGAAATAAATGAACTTTGCACAATATTCTAATTATTCGAGTTTCACCTGTGTGTGTATATATATATTGTGAGCAGACGATCGGTAGCAGGTACATAAGACCCCGGGGAATAAGCAGTCTCTTGGGCACAGATACCAAATCCAAGGCAGTAGTGGCAAACAGTGCAGTGTTTATTGGTGATATAGTGGTTAAAAAAAAAAAAGACTAACAAAATAAAACCTAGCCGTACCCCGGCACTAACTTCATAAACCAAAGTATAAGTCCTAACTAATAGGCCGAGCAGGCCTACCGCTTGTCAGCCTCCTCATACACCATTTGCAAGTTTTGTTACAAACCATGCAGCTCTCTCAAGGTGCCCAGGAGCTTTCTTTTGGAGGTACGTCGGGTAACTAGACACCAAACATGTCAAGCCTGCAAAATCGCAAAAAACTACCACACTGAAAATTGGCCATAGGCGACACTTAAAACGCTTTTACCGCTCATCAGTTTAGTGTTATCAGTAATTAATGGCCCTAAAATTATTGCTCACATGTGCGACACAATAGGCGCAATTGTTGTTTTCGCACGGTGGCGAACCCGACGCATATCTGCATGTGTATGTGAGAGGTGGAGGACTTAAAATTTTTTTTTTTTTTATTTTTACATTTTTTTAATGCTTCTTTATATTTTTAATGATTCTTTAATTTTTGTATTACACTTTTTTTTTTTTTTTTTTTTTACACAACCTTATTGCTATTACATGGGGGGATAAGAAGCCCCCTATGTGATAGCCAATTTACATGACAGGTCCTCTTTATCAAGTCATCAGGGGTCTCCAAGACCCCTAATGTCATCTAGGGACCCCAGAGAAGCTGGTGAAGCACAGATCTGCTTCATTGGCTTCTGTAGCTTGAAAGTGACAGTGAATGCAGGAAGTGATGTAATATACATTCTGGGACTGAGAGGAGATCAAAGGGAGATTGTGTACTGATCTCCCTTTGATCTCCTGTCACACAGCCGCATCGGGCACAGCGGGTCTCGGGACCGGCAATGGCAGCGATCGGGCGTCTCGAGACACTCTCTTTTGCTTGACTTGCTGGATGAACAGGTCCATATCTAGTCAGTCTAGGGATAGATTTCCAACCGCCCCATTAGCATTAACCGCCCTCTTCCTGTGCCCATAAATTGAGGTCCGCTCCAGTTGTGGGATGCTGGTTAAACAGTTTATTCACTTCTAATTAGGGAGAGAGGGTATAGGGCAGGCCAATTGCGAGGGGGTGAGTGAAAATTGCGGGGGGGGGAGTGGAATGTCAGCAATGGTGCCTCGCCGGCGGGACTAGGGATGGAATACTACCGCCGCGGCAATCGCTTGCTCGCTTCTGTTTTCTCTTCTCTTTCTCGCCTGCTGCAGCTACAGAGCGGCTGAGCCCGAGAAGGAGAAGAGAGAACAGAAGCGAGCGAGCGATTGGCGCGGCGGTAGTGTTCCATCCAGAGCCGGAGCTAGCTCTCTGCGCTCACTCTTTCGTCCCGGCCGCTTCAGCTCCACTCAGAGAGGCGGCTCTGATTACACCCGTTATCGCTCCCTCTCTCTCCTTCTGGACTGATCTTTATACTCTGCGTCACACCGCTGACCTGGCGGAGTTAAGGCCGGGGCAGGGTAGGGGTTAAGTGGGGCAACTGGTGGCAAGTAACTTTTCAGGCCTGGCTAGTAGCTTAGGACTTGAAATTTTGAGCCCTGGTATAGGGTATAGGTTCACAGGCCTCCTTAGCTCCAGACTCACAGAATTCCATCTCAATGGAGTACATCTCCACCATCTAGGAAAGAACACTGACACCCACTCTGAAGTCCATACCAATCCAAGGCACTGCAAGGTCACTGGTCCTGGTTCTTCCATCTTTCAGGCATTCTCCAGGTTGGAAGCCTCCAAGAACTTCTCTTCCAGCCACACAGCCAATGCCCACCCCAAGGCTTCTGCCTAACCTGGGGGCAGACCGAACAGGCCCAAACCTTAATCCATGTCTGGTCCAGGCAAGCGAGAGCACATGGCCACTCCCACCTATATATTTACACTTTGTCAGCAGACACCCCTGGCTGCAAGAAGCCCAGTGACTGGCTGCTGCCCTGTACACATACTATGGTGTCACTCATTGGCTGTCCCACAATGTCAGAGTCTCACTCCACCTTGGGGGGTACAGACAAGGTTGGACACCTGGGATTAACCATGTGTTGACTGCTACAAATTCAGCCAGGCTGCCTACAGCCCTGGCTATCACTAAATGCACAGTAAGCACTTCACAAAAGGTGATGGGCGCTACATATATATATACACATACAGTAAACTCCCAGTTATCTGGCACCCGTGGGGATCAGTAGGTCCTGGATAACTGTAGTTTATGGTTGCTTGAGAGTTAATAGTAACTGTCAAGCAACCCCCTCCATGGCACCCTGCTATTGAAACCCTGCCCACTGAGCAGAGAAGCGGACCAGGGAGAGAAAGTTCTCTCTCAGGTCTGATTCTCTGCTCAGTGGGCAAGTGCAATAGCCAGCCTGCTATTGCAATTTTAAATAGCCAATAGCAGGATGGCTATTGCTTCCCATTGATTACATTCTGCTGCTGACTGGAATCTAGCCGCCAGACAGCAGCAAGATGTACACAGAGAATTTCATTATATTTAGTTGTTAATTAAATTTTTTAGTGTGCACCAAGCAACCCGCAATTTTTTACTGTGCAGCAAGCCACCGGCAAAAAAAAAATGAGGACATATTTATTCAGGGCCTATGGTACGTTTCAAAACCATTTCTCTTCTCATACAAGTCAATGGGAAAGAAAAGCAGTTCAAAGGAGGTTGACACAGCATAGAAAGAGGTAAAATGCAGTGAATTTCAAATGATCGCAAAGGCTTCTCAATCTCATGTCAAATGCAAGCAGATTGCACTTTAACGCAAGCCACATTTTCCCATTGACCCAAGCATAAAGCCTGTCAATACAGATTTTTACAAGAGTTTTACACTTACCCTTTGAAATTATAGCAGAAATCGAGTGTTGTACCATGTAAACCATCAATGAAAATAGGAAGCTTGGATCATTAAGATTGCATTATAAATATTAGATCAATGAAACAGGTAACATTGTGAAACTGACATATAACAATAGTTTATTCTAATCACCAATAAAGATGATGCCTTGAAAACGTGGCATTATCTTTTATTGGTTAGAATAAATTATTGGCCAAAATGCCTTAAACTTTAATTTAAAACCTGAATGACTTCATCATGACTATAATGTGACATCATCATTTATGAGCACTGGAAGACAGTGCATTAGATTGTTTTTGATGACCCCTCTTCTTAAAGTGACACTCATGGGTTTAATCTTGAAAATGCATTCAAGTACCCTAACTAATAAAACTTGGCTGTAGATTTTCAAAATCATCTCTGAATTGCTGCTGACACTGTCCTTCCTTCTGGAGGGAGGCTACTTTTGCTCCCCATGGTCCCTGTGTGTTTTGTACAGTAGTCACCGTTCCAAGCTCGCTCCTGTGATGGACTACAATCTCAATACAAATTAGTGAACTAAACATGAGATTATAGTCCATCACAGGAGTGAGCTTGGAGCGGTGGCTACTTTACAGTACACATGGGGACCATGGGGAACAAAAGGAGCCACCCTCCAGAAGGAAGGGCAGTGTCGGCACCAATTCAGAGATGATTTGAGGATCTACAGCTGAGTGATAGACAAATAAGATACATTTCTGTTGGTGCCTGATTGGTGAAAAGGCCTTTAATTTACTTATCTTCAGCAAAGACAATTCAGCTCTCCTTCCCTACCAGACAGAGCTGTGTAAGTCTCAGGGCTAGATTTGAAAAAATACAAATCCATAGGCAGGTATATCTCGTATATGTATTTCATATGTGTGTTTAGCTGTTTCCCTGGAGTTGAAATTTAACGTAAATCAATCAAAGGTCCTAGTGTAAATGAGTTTGTTCAGTATTTTGACACCAAGTTATAAGGCAAATCCCAGGGCGTCCCTACATTTTTAATCATGACTGTGATTCTGCCAAGCAGTAACAAGCAGGAGTCAGCAACCAGGTATGAGGGCCCAGCCATTAATATATTCTCTTGCATTCATCCTTTAGATGGTGTGCACCTACCACTCAGTGGTTCAAAAACTCTCAGCCATTTGCAAGTAAATTCCATTAATAATATTTGATTTGTTTATTCCCTTCTGCAACCACCGAGGATCTTTACTCATGGGACCTGAGAGGTTACTGCTATTTCTGGGAAATACCGTTATGATTTATTTATTATCCATAAAGCCATGACCTCTACCATCATATCAAAGGCAGAGACTACTTCACCTGGAATTGAAATTACTTCTTGCACACTTCTGCAAAATATATTTCTTACCTCACTCCAGTTCCCCACAATCCAGTAGCTAGAACTTGATCCGTTAAGAGGAGATTCAGTACCATTAACTTCTTCTGATGAATTAAGGAGACTGCTGGTGGATGTGCTATTTAGCTCTGGAAATAAATCTTGTGATATGTTAGAAGTAGTGGAAGTTGGCAGGTAATTGGAGACTGTTGAGCTATTCGGTGCTGGTGTTGGTTTGTCAGTCTGTGAAGTTTCTCGTTGCGTAGTCACAATGTCCGGGCCTGGTGTAGTATCCAGTGTTTGGGAGATTTCTGTGGTGACAGTAATAGAAGGCACAGCCGATGACGCAGGCTTGTATGTAACTGTTGCTTGGTTATCTTCAACGACTTTGGGCTTGCCTTTGTGTCTCTTACTTCTAGATTCAATTACATTGTTCATTTCAGTTTCATAGTCAACATCTGGCTCTGAGGTTGACCCATCCATTTCCTCGCCTTCTGTCTTTGTTTCTGGTTGTTCTGTTAGAAAATCATACATTGGAGTTACTTTTTCCAGGACATAGGTGGCATTGGTTGGGGAAGTGGTGGCATTAAGAACTGTATTGAGGTCTCTTTCTGTTACAGTTTCATTGCCTCCTCTTAAACTTTCATCATCGTCTTTAGACTTTGCAGGAACCTTTGAAGAATTCCATTTCTTTTTATTGTTTGCCACAAGAACAAAACTGTATTTGTGATCTACGTTGAAATGCGTAGAGTTTGGAATTTCATTTATTCTGAAGTCATCTTCTATGGAAATGATGGAAGGGATCGGTGTGGGTGAAGTGGCAGCTGTTGTGGTATCTTTGGGAGTTTCTATGGTTGAGAGAACTTTTTGTTTAGTGTTCGTCAAAAAAACACGTTTCTTTGGTATGTCTATTGTCGTAGGCTTTACTTTACCAAAGGGTTTCTTGTGTTTTATAGGGGGCAGTGGGAGGCTTTTTTGCAGTGGGCATTGTTGAAGTCCACAAAGAGCTTTGGAGTTTGGTCTCTTGGATGGGTCACACGGTTCGCTGCCATGTTTTCGACACGTGACATTGCGGGTTTGAACACCTCCTCCACATTTAACAGAACACTGCAAAGTAAAGTAAACAGAATCATAACAGATACCGTAATATTTATTTGATAGTAATTCAGAGAGAAAATATGATTTACCAATATGACTGATCTCCAAAGCAGCCTTACACAGAAAGGAATTAAAAAGAATTCAGAAAGAACAATTACTGTGTTGCATTGCGAAGCTCAATATGCATATGCAATGTTTGCCATGGATACTTAGGGGTGTATTTCTAAACAATTCCCAGGGCCATTCATCCTGCGAAATTGCATGTATGTTTGTTTTGTAGGAATGGAGACAAAAACTAATGTTATTAGTATATTTTCTTTCCAGAAGAAACAGCTATACTCGTGTCCTCAGCGCTACTGCGGACCACCAAATGTCTTATAGGGAATCTTCCATGTCAAAATCACATCACCCCAGTAGGAAACTATCCAAATTCAGATGGGATTATCCTAAGATATATCATGAAGATGAAGAGGGTATAACCCTTGAAAAGTAGACATATGCACTGGCAAAAAAATTGTTTCGGTTTGATTCAGATTTTGTGTTATTTTTGGGATTCGGGTCCGAAATTGAATTTGTTTCGGGATTTGGAAAAATTTGTTAGTGGTAGTCCGGTCGAAATCGTTTTCATTTAGTTCGTTCATTTGTTGATTTTTTTTTTTTAGTCTGCAGAAGAGGAAAAAAAAAAGCGTGAGGTTCCCCCCCAATTCATACCAGACCCTTTAGGTCTGGTAGGAATGTCAGGAGGGACCCTCCCAAGTTAAAACAAATAAAGTGCGTGGGGTTCCCCCCAAAATCCATACCAGGCCCTTTACTAGGGCGTCGTGCATCGTGATTGACGCTGAATTACATAGATGGAGCCATTTTTATTTATTTTTTTAATTAAAGGATTTTATCAAAAGTCTGGACTTTTTAATAACTATTTTGTTTAACGCTTTAGTGAATGGGTAGGGGTACCCCGATGCAAATAATCCCCCTTGACTGCAGATCCCCACAACCCGCTGGTCAGGGTTGTGGGGAAGAGGCCCTTGTCCCCATGGGGTACACCCTCCCAATGTCAAGGGCACGTGGCCTAGTAAGGCACGGGGGGGTGCTCGATCATCCCCCCCCCCTTTCCTGCCTTACTGGCCAGTACTCGTATCGAGGGTCTGGTAAGAATGTTAGGGGGGACCCCCCCGTCTCCCCCCCTCATTTTTGGAGGGTGGGGGTACCCCCTTAAAATTCCTACCAGACCTAAAGGGCAATTGGGGAGAACCTCACGCACCTTTTTTTTTTCCTCTTCCGCAGACTAAAAAAAAAAAATTTTTTTTTCTAATGTCATTTTGTTGCAACGAAATTTCGTCCGACAAACAAAATTTCGCCCAGACTACCGCTAACGAATGTCGGAAATAGGAAATTCGGATTCGTTTGCATTCGTTATATCTGTAATTCGGAATTTGGATACATCCGAATGTCCAAATTTCTGAAATTTCGTCCGAATTTCGATTCGGAACGAATCGCACATGTCTATTGAAAAGCATTAGCTGCATCTGCACATATTTACCAACCGAGGGTCCATACTTGTACATTACAAAATTCCAGCATCTTTGTTTCCTTCTGACTGAAGAATTACATGCTGATCATTAGGACAGTATATGTGAACAGAATTGATCTCTTTTTTTATATCAATATTTGTTTTAATAAACAATATCGCATTAAGAGCAGGCAGTGTCTGTCTATTGTTTTGCATATTTTCTTTTCAGGTTGAATGTAAAAATCAGAAAATTGCTGCATTATGGCTACTAGGTGGAGCTCAGGAACTAAATCATTATTTGTTGTACTCCTCAGCTCTATCAAGTGGCTATAATGTGGTATTTTCCTGATCTGACATTCAACCTGGAAATAAATGATACTAATACCATTCGTGGCTATAATGTGGTATTTTCCTGATCTGACATTCAACCTGGAAATAAATGATACTAATACCATTCGTATTTGCCTCCATTCAAACAGAATTAATGTACATGCAATTTCAGCAGGCGAATGGCCCTCTTAATACAACCCTTAAAGTGTATGTCTAGCCAAAACATTGTGTTTTTTTTTTTTTAGTTTTGGTCAGAGCTGAGCAAGTAGCAACCCCTGCTTTGGTGACACCCAAGTTTAAACATTATCACAGGCAGAAATAAATATATATTTTTTTTTTTTAGTGACATAATGGATGGCTAGACCCCCAGATCCCCTCATCAGGTTTTTATTGCTGTTTTCCCCATCCTATCCTAAAACAAACAACCAAAAAAAACCCTCCATGTAAACAGCTTTAAATACATACAGTATATGGGTATGTATGGTTATACGTGGCAAACATTTTGTATTTATGTTCAACCAGTCCTGAGATTTGCATGCTTCTGCAATTCTGCAGGCAATACATCTGTTTCCTGGTGAATCAACAGAGCTTCCTATGTCACCTGTCAATCTCCAGCCTATTTCTTGGACCATAATAAACTCTGTGCAGCAAGTAGGGAGGTGATTCAGGAAGCTTTTAGGGTAAATTGTCTTCCACAACGGTAGAACAAACATCTACAATTGTGAACATTATGGACCTTCAATGCACAGCCACACATCAAAAACCACACATGACTCTTTTTGTTCCATCACAGCCCATGTGTCTATGAAGGTGTGGGTTGCGGTGTGCTGGGGTAATTGCCCATTACATCCTTCCACCAGGGATGGGACCATATTACATAGCAAGAATACACCTGGAGAACATGCAAGGCCAAAGATAAAATAGTGCTATGGTTGGCTCCAACTAAGGAACTTAATCTTGCAAAGCAGGAACATTTCTTTTTACCTGACTCCAGCTGCTCACTGACCAGTCAGATGGGCAGGATATATTTCTATTACAAGATATAAAGCTTTTGGGTTTGATGAGGTGATTGCAGTCCTCAGAAGGTAGAGCTTGCTCATCTGACCCCACTGTTCTGATGCAAAGAACAGACCTCTTCTTCTCACCGCTTAGACCGCACGTAGTGGAACATTCCTGCCACTCACCAAACCACCACCTGCAAATACATACACAACCATTTGATTAGTGATACAATTACCTATGTCGTTTAGTTGCAGAAGCTAAGCCTATTTGTAATTGACCTTTCCGGGAATGTGCCTTTAAAGGGTAACATATAGTAGACTATAAGTGTAATACAAATTAGACAACTAAATGTGAGATTGTAGTCTATCACTTGGAGCGAGTTTGGAGTGGTGGCTTTACAACACACACAGGGACCATAGAGAACAAAAGTAGCCCCCCTCCAGAAGGAAGGACAGTGTCACCCCCAATTCAGAGATGATTTGAAGATCTACAGCCAAGCGATGCACAAATAAGATACATTTTTGTTAATAGTTAAGGTACTTGAATGCATTTTTAAGATTTAACTCCTGAGTTTAGTGTCACTTTAACATCTCATTCCAAATCACCCACAACTTGCACTCAAAGGCAGCAGTGCCTTAGACCTCACACAGCATATATAGAGCTATATTATTATTATTCTTCAGGAATTATATACAGTAGCTCGAACAGTTTGCACAGCACTGTACAATATAAAGGAAGGCAGTAAATTTTCAATACAATTTATGACAAGAGGGTTAGGAGGACCCTGCTTGTGAGAGTTTACAATCTAAGAGAAAAGGGATACAAAAGGTGGTTGATGTTATAGGCTGAGGAGCGCCAAGGCACACTTACATACTAGGAAGCACACTGCTATTTAGAGGGGGAGCTCAAGACAAAATGTAATTTTTAAGGTTACCACGTAGACACAATTATTAACAATTCTGAATTTTCACTATAATAAGGCAAATCTTTTTATTTAACCCCTTCTCCCTGGAGAAGGGGTTAAATAAAAATGGGAATCAGTTGACCTTACCTGATTGACTTGAAGTCCAATTTAATGTGTTCACAGGCATGTGTGTTGAGGGGGAAGGAGTCAATCTAGCTGTATTCACAGCTATCCAAACCTGTAAAGAGGTTATTTTACTTAAAAAAACTTAGAGACCCTGTCAGTCTCTAAAAAATCCTGTCTGAAGTTCAATGCAGTAGAAGAGTTATTATAATCTCTGCTCCAGCAACCTGTGTTCCTATCTAGCTTCAATAAGACACTTTGGTATGCAAGACAGACCCAGAGATAATGAGCGGAGGGGCTGCATGACCGGGGGAAGGAATAGTCCCTGGAGAAGGGGTTAAATAAAAATGGGAATCAGTTGACCTTACCTGATTGGAGGTTGGAGTCAGGTGTCGGGGAGGAGCCGCATAGGATGGGACCGCAAGGGCTGATGGGCTTTCTTTTTCAGAAAATAGACGGAGGAAGCAGGTTGTCCTGTCCTCCCCTAATTTTTTGCAGTTGGAATGGTTATTTATGTCATAGGAACTTGGCGGGTTAATGTGTCTTTGGGGGTCTAGAAATGTGAGTCGGTTACAAAATGGGGGCCATCAGCTGGTATGGTGCTCCCTCCCCCTGTTGGTGTCAGTAGTTGTCGGGGGCCTGGCCCCTTTGGAACTTGGGAAGCAGTATCTGTCTTTGAGCTGGTGGGGGGTGTGGCTGGGGACATGGGGAGTGGTTTTGTTAGAGGCCTTATTTTGGCTGATGGGCACCCAAAGACCCTTTCTCGAATCCAACAGTCATTCAGATTATTTATTTGTATTTTATTTTGGTTATTATGTTTGGTAACTGTTCAATTTTCGTATGTTTAATAAAGGGCTGCTGTGGCCATTTAAATCCATGTCACGCAGTCCGTGTGTTCATTTTGTTTAACAGAGGGATGTAATTGACGAATCCATCATTCAAGAAGTAGTATAGTTCTGGGCTGCACTCTATGCCGTGTAAGAAGATGATGTGCTGTATCGCCTTGATGAAGGGAACAAGTGAGGCCCTAAAACATTGGCAATATTTGTTTTATGTGACATCATGTGTTCTTTTTATTGATCTTCACTCGAATGCTGGTGACCCTTCTACTTTTTGGTATTCAACAATTCTGCACCGAATCAAGCAAGATAGTTTTTGGTTGCATGACCTGACATCTCTACTTTGCGGTCATGAATGTCAGCCTTCACATCAATGGAAGTCTCTGGGTGTCTTTGAGCACTGTCCTCCCCTGGCCTTAGCACAGGTGATACAAACAGAATCTATGAACTGGCAGGTACAATATTTACACTTCAGGAGGTACCACTGTGTCCCTCTAATGGCATTTTTATGATGTGGAAATAAACTTTGAGTTTAGATTTGCTTTTAATGGCAGAAAATTGCAAATGACAAGAACTGAGAAAACATTTTGATCAAAAACATAAGCATAGAATGGCAGGAAATGATGAATCAATAGATGTATGTCAGGGGTTCTGTTGCTGTGCTTAATGGAGCTCCATATGGTTTCCATCTTCTGTAAAAAAAAATTCCACCATATGGACTGACAGATTTAATAACCTGCATGCCTGAATTCACACAGAGCACACACATCAATCAGAAAACCTTTGGTCTCTTATATTTATAATCTATATACTTTTTAACCAGATTAAGTAATTCTTGCAGCACCTGTGTGTATGTGATTAGTGGCATGGTGCCAATTCTCACAAACTTTCCTCTGTAAACTTCTCTAAATTGGCAGAATATAAATTATTAAAGGGGTGCTGTACAATAGGAGTTCTAACAAACGCAAATTTTCTTATTCTCTTTCAAATCTTCTGCTGCTATGCCAAAAAAAGATGAGAATGAGAATCAATACAGTGTGTCACGGGGTACTATGTACAGAATGAGAAGATTGATTCTGCTGTGCCATGATTCAGCAGTAAAAATAGAAAAACTCTCATTATAGGAAAACCATAAAGTTAATCTACACCATGAAAAAAAACTGAATAATGTTATCACGTTGTCTGCAATAAAGAAGTAGGACATAAAAGAAAAAGAGATAACTAAGCACATTTGGTGTCTCAAAGTGGAACTCCTTTTTAATTATAGACAGCCCCCCCCCCTTCCTCCACACTTTCTTCGTGTACTAAGAAAAAATGTGGTCAAGAAGTACTAACCATCTCCAACACTGTCCTTAGCTTCTTCCTCTGCTCAATTTAACCCACTTACTCTGAGCCCAGGCTGTCATGAACATGCTCTCTTCAGGTCTTCTGGACTGATTGGACCCATAGGTCAACTTGAGCACTGTTCAGGCCACAGGGAATGGCTACCCACCGCCACTGCTATGGAAGAAGTGGAAGGACCCAAGACATCACCAGACTGGCCTAAAAGCTACAGAAAAAAGGTATATATAGGACTGAAAAAAAAAATCCAGGTGGGTGATGGTGGTGAGGGGGAGCAGGATCTGGCATGCAGCTGGAGTTGTACAGCCTATGGCCTATTTTCTTTTTTTTAACTGCCCATGCACACCGCAGCCCCCATTCATTTCTATGACTGAACCGTACTCATTGTGTCCTCCAGGCATCCAAAGCATCAACACTTTTTTAAAGCCAACATAGATCGATGCCACTGCCCTCCTTGTATCTGCTCTTTGGATAACTAGCGAACATAATGGTTCTGGTGAGTGCTGCTGTTGGACCCAAAAGGTACCTCCAGTCCAGATTACCAACAACAGTATGCTTAGGGAATTGCACGCAACAGAAATGCCTGGGCGAAGAAAGTTCTGAGATGGTAGCCTATGCTACCGATATTCTTCTCAAGGCTTTTCAGTTCTGACTGAAGTCTATCTTTCATTAATATTTCCATACAACAGCATTTAAAGTAAATGTCCAAACAAGCTCACCCTTCTCATTGGAGAAAGATCCAGGGTGCTCCACCACATTGTCAAGTTTTAAACCACAAGTTGATCAGCACAACCATAATGTAAAACAAACATCTTTATTCTAATCCATTTAAAAAACAATGCAAGGAAGGTACAAAAACACTCCTCTGGATGACTCGTTTCAGCCACTTGCGTCTTCATCAAAACCTTAAGCGCTTGAAATGCGTCATCCATGGGGTTTTTTTTTGTACATGCTTTGCAATGTTTGAAGAATGGATTATGATAAAGGATTTTGTTTTATATCCCAGTCGTTCTGATCAAGCCTCAAAACTTTATTTTTACAACTTACAACCATGATGTACAGGTGACACCTGCTCTTAATGAGAAACAGCCATGTGCTTCCCACGTCAGTCTGATTTGACTTTTTTGAAGCCACATCCGCTGTGAAGGTCTATTATCTGATAATCATTGTAATCGGCAAACAAATCCTCAGCCTCGGCACAGGTGTTTTTAGGAGGAAATACTTTGATTGTGCTAGCCAGCTTTATCTTGAACGCGGAGAAAGCATCTTGATTTTTACAACGTCAAAAGGTGCTTTATTGAGTATTAGGGAAATGTGGCCAGAACTTTTATTTTACATCCAACTAAACCGCATTTTATCTGATCTGCTTATTGATTTTGCTATGATGTTAATTAAATAGCTTAATGTGGTAACAGGTTTGAAAGCCTGGAAACAACTGGAAGTTTGGAATAATGGCTTTGTGATATTAGCCTTTATTTGCACGGTACCGTACACCAGCTGCTCTGGATGTGCATTTGGCTTGTAGAACATAAAGGGATCATTTGCATAGTTTCACTCTCTGTTCTGAAATGAGGAATAATCCTTTTTTTATTTCTGGGATGTGTGATGGGATGATACATGTAAATGCTCTCTGTTCTAAGAAGGCTTTATTCTGGATGTATGGATTTATTCGGAGGGCTTTTTGATTTGTTTAATCCCTTCTCACCATAACCTGTACAGTTACACAGTCAGGTTAAAAAACATAACTCTTAGGAGACTCTTTGTGAACAATTTGCAGAGCCATTCACCCTGCAAATCTCTGTTAAAAGAGAACTATGAGGTAAGTGTTTTTCCCCATAGTTCTCTTGTGGGTCACGGGAGAACATATACTAGCGTCCCCCCGTGACCCAAAGCTCAGTATATCGTGAGCTACAGCTTGCAGTATACTGAGACTGCCGCAGCCGGGACGGATCCCGACATTACTGTCGAGATCCACCCAGCTGAGTG